CTTCCAGCTACTGTATAATGGCGTATTGGCAGCGTTTTGGTATAAAGGGGGTTCACAGGAGGAAACCGTCAGTTCTCCTCCAGACTTCATCCCCATCATAGGGGGAGCCAGAAGGATCCTCCCTGCGTTCAGGGCCACAGCAAACAAACTTCCTAGCAGACATGACGCTGTGGAGTAAAAATGAGCACTGAGAGTTGATATGCGAGCAAGAAAAGGTTTTATTTTACTCTGCAGAGGAGAACTACACGAAACAGCTGCTACAGCTCCCAGTGTAGCTCTGGCTAGGTCGCTGCCCACCATTGCATTATAAAGAGACTCCTTACACACGAACATTAAATCTTCCCAAGAGAAACACTTTAGTTCATCAAAGGACATAAATTTGTTCAGATAAACATTTCAGACAACCGTTTCCCGTTCACACCAAAAACAGGACGTGAGAATCTTGAACACAATAAGGACCTGTTTATCTATGTTTTCCCCGATATCTAACCAAGGGAGGACACTTCTTTTCAACCCTCCTTCCTTTCCCTACATCTCAGCATAAAGAATGGAACAAAGCCTCTAAACAATCACCCCTATTCAGGAGGACAAAAAAAGGCACACTTTAATATTTAACCTTACAAAGAAATCTTTTTATGCAGGGCGGGCGCCTCCGTGGCGCATCACTGCCCCCCTCAGGACACTGCGCATCATTTCATGGGCATTACGCTGCCGTGCGTTATGCAGAACTTACGCTGTCGTTGGACAGAAGTTCTGGACTTATGAATACTCTACGTATACGCCCAAAATTGAAAAAATACATAGAAAGTTGAGCGTATGCCAGCGTTTTAGGAGAATCTGGGACATCAGGCAGACGCTGGATAGAGAAGGTGGGACATGGCCCTAAAGCAGAGCCCTGACCAAAGCAGCAGGACACCTCCCCTTCCTCTCCCATGGTTTCATTCACACGAAAACAGGAAAATCAGTAAGTTAGTCTTAGTGGTCAATGTTTTACCTGCTAAATGTTAAAAGTAGAAAGGACTTATTAGGAAAATACGTCTTCCTGAGCAGGATGAATGAAGGTGAGGGTAAAATGGCTCAATAAGCTCGTTAGTTTGAAACTACGCCAGTGGCATTTTGTTAGCATGTAGCTACAACCAGTCACACGTGTTTCTACGGGCCTATAGCCTTTGTCTGCATGCGTGTGCATTGTGGGTGTGTGATATGTCGGCTGTTACTGTAAATTACAGTAGTAGCCATTCAAAATTCCCCAACCTTCCTTAATGGGCCCTTGGCTGGTCCCCTACAATTCCTTTTTAAACATCAAAATTTGTACTAAAATGTTATTTGTCATGATTTGTGGACTTTCGGATCTAAAGCGAAGCGCCATCTCCTGGTCAGACCCTGTGATTCAGTGAAAGGGTGGAGTCAGAGTAAAAAAAATATGCACACCCAGGAGAGGGAGGGCGTCACTCCAATGGCTGGAAGTCGGCTTTTGACTGGGAAGGGCCATTTTGACTGGCTGCTGCTGCACACATGAGAACAAGAGTGATGGGGTGCTTGTTCTAATCTGTAACTTGACTCTGTCCCTTTGCTTTCCAGGGGATCCAGGTAAAACCTGTCCACTTGCATGTCCATCTGTCTGTTAGAATGAACATAATCATCTGTTATGTTCCTCACTGAGGGCTAAATGATCCCTGGCAATTATCTAGTAAAAACTCTAAGAAGATAAAAGTTTCCTATGCTTGGAAACCTTGTTTTGTCTCCTGGAGCTCGGTCAGGCCCAGCCTGGAATAACAGCAGATCGCTCCTTTTACCAGAGACCATGCGAAGGGATGTCTGAGTGTGTGAGCGGGGTGGGCAACCAGTAGCATAAGGAACGGTCCCATATTTAGAGCAAAAATATCGTCAAAATGTATCCTGGTTGATGCCAAAAGTTCACAAATCCTTTCACACGTAGAAGGAAATGCAAAAAAAGATTTCCCATGGTGGAAGGGTGGAAGTCAATCCCTGGCTAAGAAGTTTCCCTTATTTACTTTCTAAGGAGTTGGAAACTAGAGGTGAGAGTCAGGTGGAAGGGAAGGACTGGGAACAATTCTAGCTGTCAGGATGTCTCCACAGAGATATGAAATGTTCCTTTAGTTATGGGGAAGGATGAGCAATCCTAACTAGATATATGATGTTTAAACTTACCATCAAACACAGGGTTATTCCCGGAAAGAGCTGGACTCTCTAGAAAGTTGATCAGAGTGGACAGATGGGGCTAAATGTTGCTGCTCTGGCCTGTTATG